AAAAAAAAAGAAAAGAAACGAAAAAAAAACAAAAAGCGATCTAAATAGCGCCGTGATGTCGCGCTTTATATATGTATGTGTGTATCTTTACGCAAGAGCCGACGACTTCCCGTTAATATTCTAAATAAATATTCTTTAATGCCTCGTCTCGTGAAACGTGAGTTGCTTTCTCGTTCGAACGATTCGATTCGATTCGGTTTGTCTTAACGTTAACGCAATCATACAGGTGGAGGATCGGCGGAGAGGAAGAGGGGGGGGGGGGAAGGAGGAGGAAACGATCACAAAATAAAGCGAAATAGGCACTCTCGATCTCGAAGCCCATTCAAATTGAAAGCACAACTCGCTGGTGCGGATCACGATCACATATTGAGATATTGCTTCATTCGATTCACGATCTATCACACTGGTCGATTTATAAACGTTTGAAGATTGTTGCTAAATTGTGTTGTCGGAGGGTCACCTACGACCCTCCCTTAAAGGCAATGATTAATAATAATTTCTCGTGTCCGTCCGATGCAATCTCTTCGCGTGCCATTTTGCGATACACAAGTATCTAGATGACAGCGAATACCAACAGTTTCTGGATCATTATTGTCCACTGTTCGAAGTAATTTCGTCACTGACATCACCAAAGTTCCGAGGCCAACGTCCTCGTGGCTTCCTCTTGTCATTTTCGACGTTCTTCATCTCTCTTCGATGGAATTAATCATCGTCTTCTTAACACCTTCAACCATCTTCCGTGTCTTCTTCGTCATTTTTTTTTTTTTTTTTTTTTTCAAATTCAATCAAATTCAATTCAAATCGTTCGACGAATTAATTATCGTTTTTGATGTCAAATGATCTTTCGATCTTTTCTGAGAATCATATGCTCTATGTTCAGAAACATCGTCAAGCTTCTTCCTTCCTGTCACAATGTTTTCCCTTGTCATGAGAAAGATCAACAGATGATCGGAAATTAATCTTCTCGATGCTTCATTTGTCGTCTTCATCGACGTCTCCGGTGAAGAAAATTCGACACTTTCATGGATCGAATGAAGACGTTGAAGATAATTACAAGCTATTGGTTTCGTACGTGTTTTTCGTCAGCTTCAGTGCTCTCAGTTGTTTGTAGAGCCGTTGCTTGCAGAACTGATAGAACTCGATTTCCCTGGTGAAGTTGCCTCGCACCATGTCTTTCACTTCCTCGCTGACCGGTGGCTTGAAGAAGTTTCGATTGATCCTCGTGAACGCGTTCACTTCGTCTGGAACAGAAAATTTTCGTCAGTCTTCGTGTTTTCTTGCTAGCTGCTATAGTTACTAGACTAGACTGTGAATTTTTATGCATTTTATATATATTATATATATTTATTATATTACTATATTACATTTTATTACATATATTATATATATTTATTATATTACTATATTATATTTTATTACATGTATTATATACATTTATTACATTACTATATTATATTTTATTATATATATTATATACATTTATTACATTACTATATTATATTTTATTATATATATTATATATATTTATTATATTACTACATTATATTTTATTATATATATTCTATATATTTATTATATTACTACATATATTTTATTATATATATTATATATATTTATTATATTACTACATATATTTTATTATATATATTATATATATTTATTATATTACTATATTTTATTATATATATTATATATATTTTTATGAGCATAATTAAAGGAATGAAACTTGAATAAAAATTTGTTAAAAATTTTTCATCCATTAAATACTTTACTTTGAAATTTAAATCTATAATACTATGAAATTTAAATCTATAATATTTAAATTTGTTAAATGATCATTTAAATTTATATTGTGATCAGTTAATTTTATTGATTAAATTTATATTGTATAGTATCTATTTCTGCATAGTTTTCATGATTTCAGAATACTAAGATACAGGAGAATTTCCAAAATGATGTTCTCATTACAATACACTATATATTTAACCTCTGTTTTTTTAATTGAGTTCACAAGAATATGAATTTGCATAAAAATCCACAGTCTACAGAATGAAACTTCATTCTACCACTATCATGGTTTATTATAGTGGTCGAACCATTCAGAAACGGCCAATAAAATTGAATAGTGGTATGCAGTTACTGTCTCTTAAATTCATCTTGTACTTTCCCACTTACTTTACATTTTCCTCCTGCAAAGGGGAATAAACTCGTGAATGTAATTTCATTCTTGAAGACCGAGCGGACAGAGAAGTAAAAAGTGATGCCGATCAATTTGCCTTCTGAAAGCTTTTGATTGCAACCAGCTATTCTTCTCAATACGATTGTCCCTCGCAGCGACAGGTGTAAAATATTTCATGCGTGAAGCAGGCATTTTTTCTTTTTTTTTTTTTCTTTTTCTTTCTTTCACAGTAATCGTCGATCGGGCAGAGAGGGTTTTACAGTTATGCAAATAAGAGAACAAAGGAATTACCGTAGTAGACGTCGGTGGCGCCTCGGAAAAATCGGGGTATGTAATTTTCCAATACCGTGAGAGTGGTGTTCACGTCCTCGAGCACGCCGACCACCGCGTAGTGTTTCTCCACTGCCATTTTCGCTCGTTCCAGAGCGCCCACCGTGTTGAACGGACTTTGAACAGACAACAATTGATAAGTATGACAGATGGTTGAGGCGCGGTGTGACGAAAGATAAAGGCGTGGAATTGAACGAACGCGACGTGAACAAGGTGCGAATAATGCATAAATATATATCAATCAACCAAGAAAAGAATCTTTCAAACGACTCGAAAGAGTTTTTAGAATGTTCCTCTTCTGATAATTTTTTAATTGATAATATAATCTATTATGTAGCATAGTACATCATATTATTATTAAATTATATATAGTTTGTAATTTTTTTTTAATCATATAGTATAGTACATACTATATGATTATATTTTTTTTTAATCATATAGTACATAGTATAGTATAGTATAGTAGTTTGTAATTTTTTTTTAAATCATATACTACATATATTAAATTATAGTATAGTACAACATATTAAATTATATATAGTTTGTAATATTTTTTTTTAATCATATGGTACATATATGATTATATATATTTTTTAATCATATAGTACATAGTACAGTATAGTAGTTTGTAATTTTTTTTTAAATCATATAGTATAGTACATCATATTATTATTAAATTATATATAGTTTGTAATTTTTTTTTAATCATATAGTATAGTGCATACTATATGATTATATATTTTTTTTAATCATATAGTACAAAGTACAGTATAGTAGTTTGTAATTTTTAAATCATATAGTATAGTACATCATATTATTATTAAATTATATATAGTTTGTAATTTTTTTTTTAATCATATAGTATAGTACATACTATATGATTATATATTTTTTTTAATTATATAGTACATAGTATAGTAGTTTGTAATTTTTTTTAAAATCATATAGTATAGTACATCATATTATTATTAAATTATATATAGTTTGTAATTTTTTTTTTTAATCACTGAGGTGCTAAAGAATAGAATTGAACGCGTGAACGAGGTATGAATAATGGAAAAAGAATCTCTTTTGAGAGAATTTTCAGAATGTTTTCTTTTCCCCGATAATTTTTTAGCTGATGATATAATTTATAATTTTCTTTTTTAATCATTGATATGTCGAAATACGAATGTGAAAAATGTTGTAAATATTACAAGTTAGTATTAGAAATAAATTACTTGTAATATCAAGTAGATACGACAAGTTCTACTTCTTTAATTGTACACACACAAAAAAAGAAAATGAATTTACACAGACGTTCGCAGCCTAATTTAAATGTCACGCTCGGAGAGATACAAGTTAAAAATTATAATAACAGAGTTAACGAATGTTCATAAAAATCAACTTCTTCTCGATAAATTCCCAAAGAGTCGGAAGAATTGTCGATTAATATTAACTTACAAAATTCGTACAATTCAACTCACAGGAAATTTCCTCAACATTATAACATTTACAGAAATTTGCCATTGGCAATTTGTTGTAACAAATCTGAGAAACTTTTCATTCGTCCGCGCGATACTAATAATTGAATCTTTCTCGCTGGTCACAATTTACCTGGACAAACAATCAACGAGCGCGTACCTCACGCGAAATTACTCACTTCCGAAGAAAATCCATCAACGAAAGCATTTAAACGTAATTCCCTTCCCCCCCGCCGGTCCGGTTCTCTGCGCGTTATGCACAATGGTAATGCTAATGTAACAATTTAAAGGTACCTACGTGCATTTCTCGCTGTGGCCGCAAAAAAATAGCGTCTGCCTGCGATGATCACCGATCCCCTCGTGAATTTCACCCTCGAGGTATCTACATTCACGGTCCGCCTTAAGTACACAGGACTCGAAGTCCTTCTTCAGCCAGTTCGGATCCGGCAGTGGTAGGTCTGGAAATATTTGCTTTCTCTCGACGTAATACCAAGGTGCTCGCACGTAATAGTACCAGGATATCACTCTCTCAACAGGATCCCGGACTATGTTGATGTAAATTGGCTGCGGCAGGTTGAATCTAAACGGAAAAACGTTCCACGTTAGAGCCAATCCCGTGGGAATTTAACTGACGTTACTTCCGTGTATCTGGCTCTCCTCGCCATTCCAGGAAATCCTATTTCCATGCCCGTTTCGAACGTTGGTATTGTAATTGATCGTGGATTCTTGACGGGGAAGGATGGCGGACAATTGGGAAATTTGTTGTAGAATTTCGTTGTTTTAGTTTTGACCATTTTACAGGATGAAGAATTTGATTGTTTCAGTTTGTTCCCTTTTTTTCTTTTTCTCGAATTTTTGAGATAGACGGACAGAGAATTTGTCGTGCAGTTTTATTGTTTTATTACAATTTCTTTTTTTTAGTTTCTGCGACGACGATGGATGAAGACTTTTGTTTATTTCAGCTTATTGTTTTTTTGACTTTTTGTGGAAAGAAGAACAGAGGATTTATTGTAGGGAGGATGATAGATAAAAAATTTGTTGTGAAACGTGATTATTTTATTCCTTCTTGAGCTTTTGGATAAATAGACAGATTATTTACTGTAGAAGTGTTTTTTTTTTTATTCTTTGCGAGAACGATGGATAGAGAATTTGTTGTAGAATTTCGTTGTTTTAATTTTGACCATTTTAGAGGATAAAGAATTTGAAGAAGAATTATTTTAGTTTGTTCTTTTTCTCGAATTTTTGGGATAGACGGACAGAGAATTTGTCGTGGAGTTTTATTGTTTTATTACAATTTCTTTTTTTAGTTTCTGCGACGACGATGGATGAAGAATTTTGTTTATTTCACCTTATTGTTAAGAACAGAGGATTTATTATAGAATTTGATTATTTTATTACAATTTATTCTTCTTCGACATTTTAGGAGGATGATAGATAAAGAATTTGTTGTGAACGTGATTATTTTATTCCTTCTTGAGCTTTTGGATAAATAGACAGATTATTTACTGTAGAATTGTTTTTTTTTTATTCTTTGCGAGAACGATGGATAGAGAATTTGTTGTAGAATTTCGTTGTTTTAATTTTGACCATTTTAGAGGATAAAGAATTTGAAGAGAGTGTTAAAGAATTTGATTATTTTAGTTTGTTCTTTTTCTCGAATTTTTGGGATAGACGGACAGAGAATTTGTCGTGGAGTTTTATTGTTTTATTACAATTTCTTTTTTTAGTTTCTGCGACGACGATGGATAAAGAATTTTGTTTATTTCAGCTTATTGTTTTTTGACTTTTTTTTGAAAAGAAGAACAGAGGATTTATTGCAGAATTTGATTATTTTATTGCAATTTTTTCTTCTTCGACATTTTAGGAGGATGGTAGATGAAGAATTTGTCGTAGAACGTGATTATTTTAGTTTATTCTTTCTTGAGCTTTTGGATAAATAGACAGAGGATTTATTGTAGAATTGTTTTTTTTAAATTTTTCGTAAGAACTATGGATAGAGAATTTGTTGTAGAATTTCGTTGTTTTAGTTTTAGTTGAAGAATTTTGTTTATTTCAGTTTATCGTTTTCAAACTTTTTGTGGGAAGAAGAACAAAGGATTTATTGTAGAATTTGATTATTTTATTGCTTAATTTATTCTTCTCCGACATTTTAGGAGGATGGTAGATAAAGAATTTGTTGTAGAATTCTTTGGTCTCTAATTTGATACAATAAGAACTAATTAAAAAAACTAGCATTTCATTTCGAATTTCCAAGATTTCCAAAATTTATCTGGTCTTCAGATTCTCAAATATGTTAGTACACTATTTGTTAGTGTTTCGATATGTGTAGATGTGAATTATTCATGACTTTATGATACGATTTCAAAGTACTTACTCCGTGAAATTCGTGAAACACACGTGTTTTATGTAGACAGATGGTTCTGAATAGCTGCTGACCATCCTGGCAAGTTGAAGCTAGAAATGAATTGTTAATCAGCAACGCGAAACAATACAATTTTCATTCCACATTCTCACAGTGGTCGTTAGAAATAACAATAATAATGATAATAATTCAGAAATAATATTTCAATACCTGCTCAATAGGGGCAAGACGAATTGTTTCGACTCTTTGCACGCGATCTCTGTTGAAGGAAAAGCCATTTCTCATGGACAGCCTCCTCAAGAGTTCCATGAAGGTTTGAGAGCCCACTTTTGGTACACGGTTGAAGAATAAGACGCTTCGGTCCGCTCTTCTCGTGTTGTTGAGCGCCTCGACGTCCAATACTTCAGTTTCTTTGTACTGAAACCAGGTGAAACGTCTTAACATTTCTTTCATTCTGCCGTTCTTCCTTTTTAATTTTCATATTTGCGCAACTCGCGTTCCCTGCCCCGCGTAATTAAATTTCGATCGCAATGAAATAACTTTCAATCGTTTTCAAATTCCAAAGATATTCTGAATTTTTGCTTCAACGTAATATTTAAAATTAGAAACAATTTATTTAATAATTATGAATTTTTAATATATAATAAATTTAATGTATAATATATAATAATACATAATCATATGTATAATATATATAATATATATGATAATATGTTATATATAATTTTAATATATAAAAATATATTATAAATTTGTTTAAAATTATGAATTTTATAATAAATATAATAAAAATTATAAAATATATAATATTAGAAGCAGTCATCAAATATAATACTATTTAAAATTAGAAACAATTTATTTAATAATTATGAATTTTTAATATATAATAAATTTAATACCAATTATATATACAATATATACAATATATATAATATATGATAATATATAATTTTAATATATAATAATATATAATAAATTTATTTAAAATTATGAATTTTATAATATATAATAAAAATTATAAAATATATAATATTAGAAACAGTCATCGAATATGATACTATTTAAAATTAGAAACAATTTACTTAATAATTATGAATTTTTAATATATAATTATATATATAATATATTATATTATATATAATTTTAATGTATAATAACATATAATAAATTTATTTAAAATTATGAATTTTATAAAATATAATAAAAATATATAATATTAGAAGCAGTCACCGAATATAATACGATTCAAACTTCAATAAATTATAGATAAAATGTTTTTAAATGTACCAAACGAGGTAAAAATTAAACCTAAGAACGAAAATTAATTAATATCTTAATTCAAACTCTAATATTTCGATCGTAGCCAATCTGTTATGTCAAAAACGGAACAAACGAAATCGCAATTACATTTTCTGTACTAAGAAACTATTTATCATCGCATCCGGGTGATGAAAACGCAATCTTCTTCGAATTCATATCAATTAAGTTGCAGCCTTGTTTATAGCGCGAAAGTAGCAACGATAAAAGAGCTGTCACGACGTTAATCATTGGTTTTTCTCTTTCATTTGGGATTTTCATTTTCTACCGGCGGAGAGTCATCCCGTTCCCTTTCGTTGAATAACCATTTCTAATATCGGCAAGTCATTCTAGGGTACACGGTGAACGCGGTGCAATTGCAAATGGAGGCGCGAGTAACGAATACCTTGTTTCACCATGACTTCCGGGTAGTTTTAGCGGTCGGTACAAACGACCGAAAGAAGATATTAGATAATTGAACGTTTGATGAATAGCCGATCTTTCCGCAACTTTGGCAATTCACGCTTAAAAACGTGACATTTCGTAAGAAATGACAAGGAAAAAAACTGAAAATAATTTTAAACTGTTTCTGTGAAAATAGTAATAATAGTAAATATAACATCTAATAATAGAAAATAGCAATAATAGTAATTATAATGTATAATGATAGAAAATAGAAATAATAGTAATTATAATATATAATAATAGAAAATAGAAATAATAGTAAATATAACATATAATAATAGAAAATAGTAATTATAATATGTAATAATAGTAAATATAATATATAATAATAGAAAATAGAAATAATAGTAAATATAACATATAATAATAGAAAATAGTAAATATGTCATAATAGAAAATAATAATAATAGTAAATATAATATATAATAATAGTAATGATAGAAAATAGTAATGATAGTAAATATAATATATGATAATAGAAAATAGTAGTAATAGTAAATAATTTTTATTTCTTTCAGCTTGCAGCGATGATCCAATTTTTTTTTTTCTGATCCCACTTTCGAAATTTATAAATGTCTAATTTTTACAATTTCGAGGGTGCAAGCTTAAAAATAAAATAATAAAAAGGTAAATAAAATAGTAATAATAACAAAATAATTATAAACTAACAAAAATAAGCTGCAAATTATTTTTAAACGCTATTCTGCGAATATAATAAACAGTAATTCAACACTATTTTTTAGATAGGTGGTGATTTAATTTTTAAATATTTTTAATCACTACTTTAATTCCTACTGAAACGAACTAAACGTAGTTTAAAGTTCAAGTAAGGATAAACTGGAAAATCAGCCATTTTCCATTTCCAACGTTTCATTTTTCTCACAATTTTCTCGCATTCCTCGCGCATAGTTTTAATTTTATTTCAACGCGAACCCTCAACGGAAGACGTCAATTTCGCGTTTACACTTTTCTCCGTTCAATTTCTACAGTTTGTTATTATTAGAACGACTGTTTTTCTAGGCATTTATCCCTTCGATCGTCTTCGTTTTCTTCTTCCATCACGCTCGGGCTCGGCGAGTTTCACTCGATCAGATCGAGCCTCGATCAGCGAAACGTTGAGCCGTTGCTTCCGCAAACTTGTCGATGATATAGAATTCAGCCTTGTGGAAACTGCTCGATTAGCCTTCGACTCAGCTTGTTGCCTTCGAAATCTCGAATCCTTTAAGAAGGGTACTTTCTTCTCCTACGATAATTGCGTGTTATCGTTCGCCTGTTGGCTATTCCGTTTGATTTCTCTCCACCGGAGGTACCCTTCGAGCTTGTTGTTCAAGTTAACCGGTACAAATTGAGTAAATCAAACGAACGTTAATAGGGTCTTAATACCGATCGTATTCGCGATCATCTTGTGAATTTTCAGATGCAATTTATTTAACTGTGATGGATTATTTCGATAGTTGGGAAAGGGAAATGGTTGTTAAATCAATCGCAAGTAACGTAAGTCGAGACCACATCGAACAATATTAAAATTTTGTTCGATATTGAAATATTCACTCGTACAAATATTGAAATTCGATACTAGATGCAATACTTTGAATGTTCAATATCGTTATAAATATCGGAGTTCAATGCAATAAAATTCTATCCTAGAATAAATTACATTCTTTCATTTCTTTTGAACACGTTGTTTCGTATTTTTACCACCTTTCCGAATAGTTTTAAAATATTATATATACATTATATATAATATATAATGTATTATATATATTATATATGTAATACTATATATATAATATATTATATAAAATATATAAAAATTTAATATTTTTTATAATAAAGGTAAGTAATTAAAATATATAATTATATATATAATATTATACATAATATAAATTATATATAATGTATATACATTATATATAATATATATAATATTATATATATAATATATATACTATATATAATATATTATATAAAATATATAAAAATTTAATATTTTTTATAATAAAGGCAAGTAATTAAAATATATAATTATATATATAATATATAATATATATATTATACTATATATATAATATATTATATAAAATATATAAAAATTTATTTTTTATAATAAAGGTAAGTAATTAAAATATATAATTATATATATATAGTCACATTCTTGCTTCTTTTTCTCTTATATTTGTTATTCATCTCATCCTCCATTTTTTTAACAAGTTTCTTTTGTCATCAGTACACGTATTCGAACGCCTCAATTTATTACTTTAGCAGCATTATTCTTTTCAATTGCTATTTCTCAGCTCTCTTCCCTTTATCTTTGCCTCGTCGTTCTTTCCCCAAGAAGTACAATAATATTTTTTGCCCTTCTTCATCTCGAAAAGAGAAAAAGAAAACAGCAGACAAACCAGCACGCTCGACAATTACGTAGGCGCACAGGATACCTTGTCGCACGGTGTGTGTACAAAACGCAACAGAATCACGCTTGTCTTCCTTTTCCTGTCTCCTCGGCGGCTTGGCATTACGCCGTGAACACGTTACATTATTACATTATTACCACATGCGTTTGCACGCTTCCTCCGCGATTACGGATTCCTCGGTTGTACTCTCCCTCGCTTCTTTCTTCCTCGTGAATTTACGAACCGCCCTTCCGGCTGTTGGCCACGGCATTAAACGATCGCCAAGGCAATTTGTTTCGCTGTTATCTGCATAATGGCGAAACATTACGAGGAATATCACGCACTCAACCTTTATTACCCATTTTCCAATAAGCGTACGCTTGATCGCGACCTTAACCTGAACCTCTTAGCCACGCACGTGGAGAATTTTTTGTCCGAAAATTGTATTATTGTAATATATCCTCAGTCTTAAGTATATTTAAAGGGATATTCTGGTAATTCGGCTTGAAAAAAATCGATTTTTTGGGTTTTTTTTTTCTAAGGAAACCAGGATACATTTTGGTATGCAGTTTTCGCGCACAGATTTATTCATAATTAGAGAGTATTTACAATTTTTTTTTTTCAACGAAATTAATGAAAGTTGTGGAAATTATTATACAGTCTTGGGTAAAGCATGTTTTTGAAAACGGGTTCGAATGGCTGACGTGATTTCGGTTCACCTGGTTATTTGAAACTAAGAAACCAAAATGCGTCTTAATTGGTATAAATATGGCTATCGCATGAACCACGGAAACCGCGAAATTTCGAAAATTTTAAAAATGGCAGCATTTTGAAGTTAAAAATATCGATTTTCCTTGTGCTTTTCGTCTTTTGGGTGATAAAAAAAAAAAAAATAGAAAAAACTATCAGATTTTGAAATTCATCCAATAAAAATAAATAATAATATTATAAAATAATAATAATATAAAAATAAATAATAATATTATAAAATAATAATAATTTAATAATAATGTTATAAAATAAAATATTTTTTGAAGAACATTTGAAGGTTTTATTACCCGTTGTACCTAAGTATTCATCACTTACAATCAATCGGGCAGTAAAAAAAATAAAATACTGTAAAATAATAATAATATAAAAATAAATAATAATATTATAAAATAAAATATTTTTTGAAGAAAAACACATTTGAAGGTTGTGTTACCCGTTGTACAAAAATATTCATACTCACGTTGCGAGCAATACATCGTTTCCTTTAAACACCTG